GAGAGAGAGAGAGAGAGAGGGGGAGAGAGAGAGAGAGAGAGAGAGAGAGAGAGAGAGAGAGAGAGAGAGAGAGAGAGAGAGAGAGAGAGAGAGAGAGAGAGAGAGAGAGAGAGAGAGAGAGAGACTTTCATTCGCTTTCAACCTCTCTCTCTCTCTTTATATATATGTGTGTATATATATATATATATATATATATATATATATATATATATATATATATATATATATATATATATATATGTATTACACATATATGTATATAGATAGACATATAGACAGATAGATAAATAGACAGACAGATCGAACTTCACACTATATATATATACTGATAGTTAATTCTCTTACACGTTAGATTAATCCAAATAATTTGTAATTAATAATTTAATATGAATGGTAAAACACTCTAACATGGAAAATCGTCCTTTAAAAAAAAATGTTCGTCAATAAAATAAAACATGAAAGCGTTTCTAAACATTTAAAAGGTGTCATAAATAAAGCAGAAAATGGATTGTTTCCCAGCTTAGTATCTTAGTATATTCCATTGGGCTATTTCCGTAGTTAAGTCAACTAAATGTCAAGTTCTGTTGAAGTTGCCAAAAGGTATATTCATAGACCAGTGTTATTCACTAATTTTTTCAAGAGAGCCAAAAGTTCAGGGCATATTCAGATTGAGAGCCACATGCCTCGTAAGCTAAAAGGATTAGTATTAGCAGAACAAAATATATACAGAAACTAAATTACATATTTTTTTACATATTTTTGATACTGGCAAAGTATGGGTCGCCGAGCACTGGATTTTACGTAACCTACACGTACAGTTCCTGTACGGAAGGAGCGTCATTTCTTTCTTTCTCTCTCTCTCTCTCTCTCTCTCTCTCTCTCTCTCTCTCTCTCTCTCTCTCTCTCTCTCTCTCTCTCTCTCTCTCTCTCTCTCTCTCTCTCTGTTTTGCGAGGCGCCACTCAGGTCTTGGCGAGCCGCCACTGGCTCGCGAGCCGCGCAATGAAGACCACTGTCATAGACTTTTGCGTTTCATTTACATATTCATATACATTACATTATATACGGAAGTCTTTTAAGACAATAAGTAATTACAATACAACAAAAACTAAATAACGAATTATATTCAGCATTCTTTAATTTGCGGAATTGTGCCAATATTTTCTCTGAATAACTCTGAATATATATAACTTTGGCTTAGTACTCGAAGATAAAGCGAAAAAAATATGCTGTCTTCAAATTCACTAAAAATTTAAAATCGATTTGATTTTTAAAAGACAGCAATTAAATGACAATTTCTCCCCCCCCCCCCCGCCCCCCCACCGACCACCACCATTATTCAGAAAGGAAAGTGACGCTCAGTGTGGATCGAGACAGAAGTAAAGAGTTGTGTTTGGTGCTTGAAAGTGTTGTTATATCTGTATTTGTGATTGCAAAGAGGAATGCCACAGAGGAAAATATGATGGAAGAAGTAGATTAAGATCTTCATTTGTTTTATTTGTCTTGTTTTAAGCTGTTTGAATCGTTACCAATTGCCAGGGTCGACCAATAGTTCGTTGGAAATAACTCATAAGTGAATCATATAGCTAAGAAACTTTTTTTTTTTTTTTTTTTTTATTACTTGTCGGTTGCCTTTAATAGATGGATGCTGTTGAACATTATTTCGTGTCCTTTGGTTATAGGCCTATTAGTGATCGCAGTCATCAGTATTATCTAAATAAAAATATATATACTATGATAACTGCAAGCCGGGCCATAGCCGAAGGCCCGGGCGAAGCTAGAACTTCGCAAATCACAATCGATCGATAACTGCAATCGGAATTAGGTCAACATGTAGTATAAGGTAGTGGCAGAGTTGGGTAATAAAACCTACATGAAATGATAGAAAAATACAAACCAAGACAAGGTTCTTCTATGGCAATATGTGTGCAAATGCTTCCTTCAACAACCTGTTCTCTTTCCTCAAACGCATACATATCCTTCATCTAATCTAACTCCTTACCACACCCGACCTTAACCCTTTCACTCACCAATCCCTTTGCCCAGCAAAGACAACTAATCAATAACTCAACCACCCTTCACTAACATTAACTATAGTGCTACATGACCTTAGATGTCTAGCACATTTATCTTGTTTTTGACCATTAACCATTAACCATTGCAATTAAATGAAAAAAGCTTTTTCCTTGAAAGTGAACTATTTGATGTGTCATGTAATTTTTTGTTGTTGACCAATTGCTCAACATACCGTAGAGAGTATTTGTATCTTTACCGAATGTATTTCCAAGAATACAAATTGAAAGTCAGTGGGTTCCCAACCTTTGCAATCTGGCGACATATTGGAAAGACATTCGGCACAAAAGAAACTTTATTTACGTCTTAAAAACGATGGATAAAATCTAATTGAACATTATGCTTCAGTAGCTTGTTAGAAGGAAGAGAAGACAGGAGAGAGTATGTAGTTACGAATGGATAGACAGTAAAGGTGACAAACTTTTCCTTCTCGTTGATTGGACCTTAGCAGTGTGGAAAAATGGGACCAAATTAATAACGCATTGCTAGATGGTTGATAATCGTGAGTTTCCACCAAAACAAAGAGAGAAAAAAAAAATCTAAGACTTTTTTTTCTTTTTTTTTATTGCTGACTATATCCTCGACTTCTGCGACAGACCACCTCTTAACTTCACTCATATGCAAATACAGATGCATTCCACATCCATAACACATCCATAACACTTGAAAGATTACAAACTATTGTAAAGAACACTAAGAAAATTTAGTTAATTAATTAGTGAAAAACTTTACAGGTTAGGATAAAGGCTAGTTTACACGTAAGAAGCTAGTTTTGTATTTTATCGCTAAATTATCGCTCTCTCCTGGCGAATTTCGAGCTGAAAAAGACGCAAGCGGTAAGCCGTTTACACGACGCTGGTAAAAATGATGAATTCGCTAGCGTTTCCGCGCGGTCCTAGGCGTCATGGCGTTGCAGGAGGATGTGTTGCGAGCCGTTGCAAGGGGAGCTCCAAGCTAGATGCGTGATTCTGTTATGAGAAAACAGCCCCCGCCCCACCAAAAAAAGAAAAAAAAAGAAAAGAAAGTCAGTTAAAATGAAATTTATTCTATTTAGATTTAAAAGCTAAATCTAATATATGTTCCCTATGATGGGATAGTTTCCAATAATCTCAAGGCGGATGGATATTTCCCTTTCTTTTTCAGTCAGGGTTAGTTTTGGTGCCATCGTAAAGAGAAAAGCGGACAATGCACACAGCAGCTTACACCTCATACACTGTCGTCGTCGTCGTCTGAACTAGTCTTTTCGCTACAGAAACGCTAGACGTGGGCGGTGAAGTCGACCATGTTTAACTTTATCCCACGTCAAGCAGGCGCTGCGAATTCATGATTTTAGTCGCTAGCCAATAAAAGTCACGAGCGCATTAGCTGGCGAATTAATGAGCTTGTCTTTAGCAAATAAAAACAACATATAAGCGACCCTAATACGATAACTTTCCCCATTTCCAACCTATTTTACGCCTCCAAAAGGCAATTGATAAGACACACTGTAAAGTGATTGTGACATACTTAAGCAACTGCTCTAGAAAAACACATGTTGGATTATAAAAGGCGGTCAGCAAGAACACGTGCTTTCAGGGACACGCCAATGTGAAAAAGGTATTTCGAATATGAGAGTTAATATTGGTAAAGTATATGTATCTGATAATCTCTATATCGATATCTAATGCAAGGCTGCCAAGCACACGGCAAATTTTGCTATTTCAGTCTTACAGTCGGCCGTTTTACCCAGTTAAGCAAGTCCTTCGTTTTTTTATGTTTATCACTTACAGTCATACACTTTTTTCTAGTATTATCTTTTTGGTTTTTCGTCAACCATATGTCCATTTCTCCACGTCATTTCATGCTTATCTGGGCTGCATAATCATACTAATGCTTATGTTTTTTTCTCTTCATAAATT